CTTTCTTTTGTGGAACGGTTCGAGGCCACCAGAGCGGAGCCGTGTAGAACAGTCCCACACGTCGGGGGTTCGATTCCTAACAAACATTAACATTTAATTTTACTGCCTCGCCCAGTGTGGTTGAAAACCGTGACTTCAGCCAACGAACTGCATGTGCCGTGATGGTCTAGGGAGTAGAGGCGTCGCTTCTCCGTGCTGAGGTCGGCGGTTCGACTCCCCAAACTTCTTGTGAAATTTTGACCGGGTCGGTCCATTCCTGTCGCGTCAAGAGCCCGCCTCACGCCGCTCCATTCGTCATGGGCTGTGGTGGGCGAGCGGCAAAAGTCGTGCGGTCCCGGCAGTAGGGTCCTGGGATCGACTCCATCATTTCATTACATTTTTCGACTGGCTTCCTTCCACTGCAACTCAAACCCGTTGTCCAACACGACGCCAGACGTACAAGCTTGATAGCGTAGTGGTCAGAGTCACATTCACCTGGCCACTCCGCTGGGGTGTCTAAAAAGCAGCTGCGCTTCGGCGGGTTGGCCTCGGCACTGGAGCGACGGAGTATTTGATCCGTCAATCCAGCCACCCGTAATTGGTCGCGGGTGGGTCCTCCTGATTCGTCGGGAGGAGATGATAAGTCCTTTGAAGCTGGCCCTTAAACAAGCTGTATGTTTGGTAGAGAGCGCCGGACAGCGGGTGTACATTTGGTACAGACCACCCCGCGAAAAGCAAAGGCTCTCAAGGCAGAGAGAGACTGTCAAACCCGCCCTTCAAGCCCGGCCCATATACAGACGAGAACCCCTGGGGTCGCCGCCTGTAAAGCACCGGTTCCCCCGATCCACCGAAGTTGCAGGCGGCCCTCCGATCTCGGAGGTGGGAGAAGGGCCCCCCTTTTTTCTTTTTTTTTCGATTTTTGTATCCGGGGGGGGGGATGCATTGCGCCTAGGCTTTTTGTATCCCCCTCCGGCCGGCCGAGGGGATACTCCTCGCCTAGGCTCTTTGTATCCGGGGGGGATGCATTGCGCCTAGGCGACGTGCATCCTCCTCCGACCGGCGGGGGATACAATAAGCCTAGGCAAAATGTACCCCGGGGTACATTTCGCCTAGCCGCATTGTACCCGGGGTACAATTCGCCTAGCAACTAGGCGCTTTGTACCCCTGGGTACATTGAACCTAGTCGTCATGTACCCCAGGGTACTATGGCCCTAGGCGTTGTGCACCCGGGGGTACTCTGCGCCGACGGGTACAGTTCGCCTCCTACACCGGCTCTACCGACCGGCGAGGTGGAGCCGGGGCGCGATTCAGGGCGGAGCGGGGCGGAGCGGGGCGGAGCGGGGCGGAGCGGGGCGGAGCGGCGGAGCGGGGCGGAGCGGGGCGGAGCGGGGCGGACGGGGGGGGCGGAGCGGGGCGGAGCGGGGCGGAGCGGGGCGGAGCGGGGCGGAGCGGGGCGGAGCGGGGCGGAGCGGGGCGGAGCGGGGCGGAGCGGGGCGGAGCGGGGCGGAGCGGGGCGGAGCGGGGCGGAGCGGGGCGGAGCGGGGCGGAGCGGGGCGGAGCGGGCGGAGCGGGGCGGAGCGGGGCGGAGCGGGGCGGAGCGGGGCGGAGCGGGGCGGAGCGGGGGACCAGCCAAAACCACGGCCGGCCAAACTTGGGCAGGGCGTGATTGGGGGCGAAGAAGACTGTCGAAGACTGTCGACGTCGGCCGAAGACCGCCGGCGGGCGGGGCTTTCATTTTCGGCCATTGTGCCTCGACGAGAATAAATCAAATTATTGATCAACTTCCTGCTCAGTGCTCCGCGCGGCCGCGGCGCCGCGGTTCTGCCGGTCCGGGTCGACGCGGTGTCGTCGCCATTCAAGCCACGACCTCCCCCTCCCCTCCGCCATCCCCAACCCGGACCCCCTTCCATTCCGTGTGATTCCTTTCCCTCCCAATCGCTCTAAATAGTTTGCGGGGGAAGAATACCGACTCGGGGGAGATTCTGACCAAGAAGACCCGCCGGATGCTGCTTTCGAAGCGTCTTGCCGTCGCTCTGTCTCTGTCGCACTCGCGGGGCGTGCCGTGGGGGCGTGAGAGAGACGGGGCGAGGCGGGGGAGCGGACAGGCGGAGAAGACAGACTGCCGCTGCTTGGCAAGTGCCGGGCCGGCCGGGCCGCGGTGCGGTGGCTGCGATTTCGCTCCAAGAATTCCCTCCCCCTTTCCCCCACCCCCTGCCTCTTCGTGTTCCCTTCTCAGAGTCCTGGGCGACGCCTTAAAACCAAGCGCGCGACCCTCAGGACGTCTCAGGACCCACTGACCCAATAAAGGGCCGCCGTCTCACCGTCTCGCCGTCACCGGCGGAGCACAGTGGGCCAGAAGACCGGTGGAGGCGGCCAAAACTCCAGACGCGTTTTGAGCTCCAGAGTCGCTAAATGGGACTCGAACCGAACGTGTGACCCCACCAATGGATTGCTCTTCGGACGAGGAGTCCATTGGTGGGGTCACACGTTCGGTTCAAGGCCTGCTTAGCTACTCTGGAGCTCAAAACGCGTCTGGAGTTTTGGCCGCCTCCACTGGTCTTCTGGCCCACTGTGCGGAGCGAGGCGTGCCCGACGGCAAGCCCGACGGCGACAGCAGGGGCAGCAGGACAACAGACACAGCAGCAGGGACAGCAACGGGGCGCGAGTTGGTGCGGTGCAACGCGCACGGTGTGCTGGCGGGGCAGGGGGCGCCCCCCGGGGCACCACTGCTTGCGGGGCTTGCGGGTCTTCGAAGTTCAATTTCGCGGTCCGTCTCCCGCCGCGTGTCTCCGCGTCTCCAGGACGTCGAGAGCGAGAACGTCGAGATCGGAACGGCGGTGTAATTAGAATCATAAATCCCCCGCTGTGCGCGCCGCCACGCCGCCACGCCGCCACGCCGTGTATATCAGTTGACCTACCTCACAGTAGACGTACACATATTTCTACTCAACAAAAATTGATATGAATATTATAAAAATCATCCATCTGTCTCAAACCAAGCTCCTGACAAAAGGTGGCAAACCTCTTGAGCACTGTAATCTCTTTCAGAGCAATTAAGTGCTAATACATAGTCTTTTTAAGACATTTATTCTGGTTTTGACGATTTATCACCCACACAAATCCTCTGTCCAAACACACACAAATTCATCTGTCCGCAAAATACTCTCCCTACGGGCTCGACCTATAAGGCCTCGCCTTGAGCTAGTAAAATAATAATAAAAATAAAAATAAGAAGATACGCTGCCACGCCGCCACGCCACCAACAACGAGTGCAAGTTAAGGGAGCAGGGCGCCTGTGAATCGGAGGATAGGCAACCCAACGCACACTGCGGTCTGACGGGACGGGGCGCTGGGCTATTACCATTACCATTACGGGCTAGACTGCTATATTGCCATTAGCGACTCGACCACAATTGATCGTCTGTCTTTCGGGGGGCTATTGCCATTAACGACTCGATCACAATTGATCATACTGACACATCATCACATTGACATACTTGACACTTTCCAGAACCACCATTTTTGAGCCACTTCCGTAACGACGCTGCTTGTGAGTGGGTGTGAGTGGGGTGACGATGGGTGAGGCGGATACAAAATTAGAATAACGTGCTGTGCTTCGGAACGGCTCGAGTTTTATTGCGTGATGCGGGCAAACAGTGATTGGCGCTTGCTCCTGCCGGTGGCGCTGCGCCGCGCTGCGCTGGAGTGACAAGGCGATGAAAAGGGGGCGGGGGGCACGGCCCGATGACTGTATGAGAAATAAATATTGGTCGTTCCGCACGGCGCCAACGCGTCGCACTGCCACTGCTGCTGCAGGGTGCCGCTGGCGGTCCTGGCAGTGGGGGAGCACTGTGGGCCAGAGACCGGTGGAGGCGGCCAAAACTCTAGACGCGTTTTGAGCTCCAGATTCGCTAAATGGGACTCGAACCGAACGAGTGACCCCACCAATGGATTGCTCTCCGAACGAGAAATCCATTGGTGGGGTCACACGTTCGGTTCGAGGCCTGTTCAGCGACTCTGGAGCACAAAACGCGTCTAGAGTTTTGGCCGCTCCGCCGGTCTTCTGGCCCACTGTGCGCTGGGGAGGCGCGCCTAGGCGGTGGCTGGGGACTCCGGATATTTGTTCGGCATGGTTCGGCGTGTCGCCGCGGCGGATGGAGGACGTCGGCCCCCATACCGCGCCCTATTTACACTCCGTGATGAGCGCGCCGGCCGAACCGCCCTGGAACCGCCCTGGAACCTCCTGGAACCGCCCTGGAACCGCCAGGGCACGACCAAGGAAACGCCGCCGAAAGCCAAGACCGGCAGACAATGCAGACGACGCACCGCCACGCCACGCCCCACGTGCCAGGCACCTTGAACAGGGCGGGGCCCGGCCGGGCGCGGCCAACCCCCTTCCCGGGTCTTTTCACTAAGGAAAACCGCCAAGGGGAGGGAAAACCCCGGGGAACTTCAGCAGGGGGGGGGGTAATATTTTCCTAGGGTAACTTTACCCCCTCTGGGGGGGTAATAATCTACTGGGGGAAAAATACCCTCTCTCTGGAGGGGGAAAAAATTCCCTGGGAAAAAAAATACCCATCACGGGGGGTTTTATCATACACTAGAAATTTTTCTTTCCCCCTCCTCCGGAGAAGGTACATGCCCACTAGGGTTAATTTCCCAGGGGATCATAATTTACTAGTGAATTCGTACTTCCCCACCAGAAAACGAGTGTGAAGATGAAAAAAAAATCCACAAGCAATTCGAGAAAGCAAGTCATATACAAAAAGAGTCAAAATAAATTCTTAACACAGAAAACAACTTGATTCACGAATTTTAATGTTTTCAGCACCATAGGTCTTTTTTTTTCTTAATTTTAAACTTTGCGAAATAAACGATGAGTTAGTCAGGTAGGTAGACGAATGCCCAAAACTCGGGAAGGGCGCCCGCTTTGGCTTATCCTTGGATTATGAAAAAATCCAATTTATTTTTTTTAAATTTTGATTTTCTGAAATTGCGTGTGGAACGTGTCTTTCAACACCTTAATGCTCGTTTTCTGGTGAGGGAGTACAAATGCCCTAGTAAATTAAACCCCAAATTTTACCCTAGTGGCCATGTACCCTCTCAGGAGAGAGGGTAAGAAATTACTATGTATGATTCCCCCCCCTGTGATAGGTACTTTTTTCCTGGGGAAATTTTTACCCCTCCAGAGAGAGGGTATTTTTCCACTAGTGGATTATTACCCCCCCTAGAGGGGGTAAAGTTACCCTGGGAAAAAATATTACCCCCCACCCTGCATGAGTATGATATCCCTAGGGAATTATTACCCTCCCCTAGGGCAAGGTACTTTCCTCCTAGTGAAATAGTACCCTAGGTAAGGGGAAAGATACACGCTTACACCGGGCCGGGGCGGCCGCAGGGCACCGCGGTGGGCTGCTTCCGAGTTCGCTCTTTCTCTAGCACCCTTACAGGACGCCGCATGCGTGCGAGAGAGACAGAGCGACGGGAGCGCTGTTCGGAGGCAGTCCCGGGGCGCGGCAGCACCGCAGGGCGAGGCGAGGGCGAGGCGGCCGCATTGGGGAACACACGCGCGGAGGAATGCGCCGTGTTCCCCAATAGTTTTCCGACTCGCTGGGCTGGCGGTGCGTGGCCGTGGCGGTCTTCTTGGTCTTGGTGGTTCAGTAGGGGGCCCCCGCTGCCGCCGCTGCCGCCGCTGCCGCCGCTGCCGCCGCTGCCGCCGCTGCCGCCGCTGCCGCCGCTGCCGCCGCTGCCGCCGCTGCCGCCGCCGCTGCCCGCCCTGCCGCCCGGGCCCCGGGCCCCCTCGAAGCTGACCGTCGGCCTGAAGCCCCGCTCGTCCGCCTCGTAGTCCACACGCTGCAGGCGGCCGTCCGGCAGCAGCACGTGGTACGTGCCGCGCGTCACCTCGCCGTCGCGCTCCTCGTGCTGTCCGAACTGGGGGGCGTCGGCGCCGGCCTCGGGGCTCGCGTCGTCGCCCACGCTGTACTCGAAGTGGTACATGGCGTTCTCCTGTGGGCAAGGCAGTCCCTGCATTACCGTACAAATTACGACAGTGACGTGGCATGGTCGAATTTTCGCAGGGCTGCAGGCTGATGCCGAAGAGCCGTTTCGTCGCGCTGTCTCTCTCGCACTCGCATGGATCGCCTTTCGAGAGGCCGTGCGGTGGTTTACCTGCATGTCGTCGTCCTGGTCGTCGCCGTGGTGACCGGGGCCGCCGCGGGGGTATCCGCGTCCAGGAGGCCCGTACATGTCGCTGACGCCCTCGCTGCCGGCAAACGCCCCCGCCTTGTGGAAGGCGTCGCTAGCCGAGCCCTGGCCGGAGGCGGGGCCGTGGCCGTCGAGGCCGTGGCCAGCGAAGCCGCGGCCGACGAAGGAACCCGTCTCCTGGCCGGAGAACAGCTCGGCGTCGTGGCCGGCGACGTCGCCTGCCCCGGGGTGCGCCCCCTGGCCCTGCCCCTGGCCCTGTCCAGCGAACCGCTCGCCAGGGCCGTGACCGGAACCGTGACCGGAACCGTGACCAGCCTTGGATTTGGAAGAGGCGACGCGCATGTGCTTCTTGGCGCCGCGATCGGCAGGGCGCCCGGAAGCGTGCCCGGAAGGGTGCCCGGCGCTGCCGCTCGCCTGGACGCCCTGGGACGTCGCCTTCTTGCCGGGGTGGTGCGGGCGGCGTGGGCCGGAGGACGCCAAGGGCCCGGAAGGCCTGGCGGAGAAGGGCGCCCCGTACTCGGAGGACGGCGCCGAGCGGAAGGCGGACATGGTGGGGGGCAAGTACCTGCGGGCCGGGCGGAAGTACAGTTCCTGGAGTGTCCGGCACTTGATGAAGGCGAGGGAGGCGAGGGAGGGGGCTGCAAACTCACCGTGACTGCTGCTTGATGGGTGCGCGGGGTGTTCCCAGGGGACGGGCCTCGTACGCCGTCATGCCGTTGGAGTGGTCGCCTTGGTTGTGCTTCTGGAAACCGATGTCCTTCTGCTGGCCCTGGAAGCTGCCGTACTGCTGAATATTCTGCTCGTCGTCGTCTTGGAAGCCGTGTTTGTTGCCTTGGTGGCCGTGGTGGTCATCATTGCGGTTGTCCTGGAAGCCTCCGAACTTTTGGAATCCCTGGCCACCCTGGGAGCCACCGTTCTTCGGGTAGCCCTGGTCCTGGAAGCCACTGTTCTTCGGGTAGCCCTGATCGTCCTGGAAGCCACCGTTCTTCGGGTAGCCCTGGTTGTTCTGGAGACCGGCGTCCTTCTGGTATCCCTGGTTGTCCTGGAAGCCACCGTTCTTTGGGTAGCCCTGGTTGCTCTGCTTCTGGTATCCCTGGTTATCCTGGAAGCCACCGTTCTTTGGGTAGCCCTGGTTGTTCTGGAGACCAGCTTCCTTCTGGTATCCCTGGTTGTCCTGGAAGCCACCGTTCTTTGGGTAGCCCTGGTTGTCTGAGACCCTCCTTCTGGTATCCCTGGTTATCCTGGAAGCCACCGTTCTTTGGGTAGCCCTGGTTGTTCTGGAGACCAGCTTCCTTCTGGTATCCCTGGTTATCCTGGAAGCCACCGTTCTTTGGGTAGCCCTGGTTGTTCTGGAGACCGGCGTCCTTCTGGTATCCCTGGTTGTCCTGGAAGCCACCGTTCTTTGGGTAGCCCTGGTTGCTCTGCTTCTGGTATCCCTGGTATCCTGGAAGCCACGTCTTGGGTAGCCCTGGTTGTTCTGGAGACCAGCTTCCTTCTGGTATCCCTGGTTATCCTGGAAGCCACCGTTCTTTGGGTAGCCCTGGTGGTCCTGAAGACCGGCGTCCTTATGGTATCCCTGGTCATCTTGGAAGCCGCCGCCATTTTGGTATCCCTGGTGGTCCTGAGAACCGCCGTCCTTTTGATACCCCTGGTGGTCCTTGAAGCCGCCGCCCTGTTTGGAGCCGTTGTCCTGGCCGTCGTGGTGGTGCGCGTCACGCTGGTGGTCGCCGCCTCGCCGGCCAGGGTAGCCGCCGTTGGGCGGCGGTGGTTCGGGTCGAGCGAGGGCCCCGGCCAGCAGCGCCGCCAGCAGCACGGCGTTGATCTGCAAGACGAACAAGTAGAGTCCCTCGCTCCAGCGCGCCCGCACTCGCCGTGGTGCCGCAGCTCACCAAGATGGTCGTCATGGCGAAGCGTGGCCGTTGCTGCCGCGCTGCCGTCGCCGCTCTGGTTGTTGCTCCTCCGCTAGATGCGCCTCACTGTTCTGCCACCCGATCGACGGCCGTTATATACGTCGCGATCCCCTCCAGCTGGAGCGGGCTGGAGGCTCCAGACTGCAGGGCAAAGGGCCCTTTGCAGATGAGCCCAGCCATTCGCGTATTAGGTATCACAATGGACAGGCGATCTGAATGGGCCGGCGTTGCGTTATGCGTATACACGCTCTGTCTTGGCCGACGTGCCGCCGTCGGCTGCCGTCAGGACGGAGGGAGAGGGCGCTACCTGCTCGCTATCCACTCGCACGCGTCATCGCGCACGTCACGGCCAGGCCCTGGCCAGACCTGCAGGCTGGAATCCGAACAGAGCTTTCGTCGCTCGTCCATGGAGCGTGCGGTAGGCAGGGGTGCGAGGGAGACGGAGCACAGTGGGCCAGAAGACCGGTGGAGGCGGCCAAAACTCTAGACGCGTTTTGAGCTCCAGAGTCGCTAAACAGGGCTCGAACCGACCGTGTGACCCCACCAATGGATTCCTCGTTCGGAGAGCAATCCATTGGTGGGGTCACACGTTCGGTTCGAGTCCCATTTAGCGACTCTGGAGCTCAAAACGCGTCTGGAGTTTTGGCCGCCTCCACCGGTCTTCTGGCCCACTGTGCGGAGCAACTGCTCGGAATCCTCCCGCTGGTGCTTTCACGTTAAGCCTGGCCGCCGAATCCAGGCGGGTGGGAGTGATTCTCGCTACGGGCATCAAGGAATCGAGGAATCGGGTAAACACGGTCCTGAGAATCGGCGGCACTCACAAAGAGGGATCAGGCGACAGGTGAAGTCCACACGCCGTCTCGCTGTGCTTGATGCGCTTGCAGCGAGACGCTCGGGTCGAATTCGCGAACAGCAGTCTGGTGCCAAACACTGATTTCGAACGCCCTGTCTCTCTCGCACTCCTGGGGCGTTCCACAGGGGTGTGCGAGAGAGACAGAGCGACAGCGTGCGGTTCGGAATCTGCCAGCAGCCGGGCAACCCGCCCGCGCTCATCCAGCCGGGGCAGAGCAGAGCAGGCAGAGCGACAAAGAACAACTTCATCCGGAAAACATGGCCAGCAACGAATTACACGACGCGCGGCTGAATCGGTCCGAAAGGCGGGCGGGCAGCGCGGACAGCGTCAGCGGGCTGCTCCTCTGTCTCTCTCGCACTCACGAAGCGTCGCCCGAAGGGCGCCGAAGGGCCGTGAGAGTGACAGAGACAGAGCAACGAAACCACATTTGTTCGGAGTCAGCCTGCAGTCCGCCGCCACGAGGTTTATTCTTATATTTTCACTGCAAACTCGCGCGTTTCGGCCGGCGAAGCGGGAGGAGGGGGCGGGGGAGGCTGGGGCGCCACAGTCGCCACAGCAAACACACGGCGCATTCGGCGCGCATTCGTCATGCGTCGCGCCCCTGACTTTACGCGTCGATTTTGCAAAGCGCGGCAAATGTGGCTGGTTACGGAATAATACATACACGAGCTTGCGCGTTACGATTGTGCCTCGCTGATTTTATGTGTGTGTGTGTGTGTGTGTGTGTGTGTGTGTGTGTGTGTGTGTGTGTGTGTGTCTGTCTGTGTCTGTGAACGGGAGTGCCGGCAACCGGCGTATAATCGCATTATCGCACACTCGCTGGGCTGGCGGGGCTTGGCGGGGCTTGGCGGGGCTGGCCCAGGCACATACACAGCCCTCGGCCTCGGGGTGCTCGGGGTGCCCTGAGCTGCCCTGGGCCGCCCCGTGGTGCCCCTGAAGGTTCCCAGCGGCCCCGGCCAGTGTAGGAGTCAAATTGTATACCCTGGTTTCGGCTCAGTGCTACCCGCCTAGGACCATGGTACGCAGAGGTACATCATAAACTAGGGTCAATGTCGGGTCGCTAGGGGCGGCTTTGGCACGATGCGAATTCAAGACTCGAGGCTGGTCGTCGATCCCGATCCTCGAACCACTTCGGCGGCGCGTCCCAGTCCCTCTGTTTCCGCGGAGCACCGCCGCACTGCCTCAGCAGGGGCGCGGTCCGCTGCCACTGATTTACTGATTTCCAGGGTAGAGGAATACCACTGCTCCGGGAGAAAACTTCCTCTTTCTGAAACAAGAGCGAGTTTGGGAAACGCCGCCAGTCCGCGCGCTCGTCGCGCCGCTCGTTCCGCGGAACGCGGGGCACAAAGTCTGCATTGTTCGAAAGTGACACAAAGTGACACAAAGAGACGCGCAGAGGCGCGCAGTGACGCTGGTGATCAGTTTCGTCACATCTCCGGCTGGGCATTGCCGTCCCAGAGAAAGGGGTGCGCTGTGCGCGGCCGGCGGGGCGCAGGAAATCGACGTTGTTTGTCGCGAGTGGATCGGCCGTGCTCGCTCGTTGTGGAGACAGCATCGGCGGCCCTACAGTGCAGTGTGTTCGAGGAGCACGCCCCGGGAGCGGGGCGGGCACGGCCTGGGCCGGCCTGGGCACGACGGGCACGGCGGGCCGAGACGAGTCATAAAGGTGAATAATAGTGAGCCATTGTTCACGGGCGGGCGCTTCCCCCTTCCCTCTCCTCCCTCCCGCGGAAAATTGATTTAGACAAGTTGTTATTCGTCTTGTTCTTTATTATCGAGGTAAAATATTATCACAAAGTCCACATAAGTCCCGAATCGTGGTCGTAAAATTTGAGCACAATTAGGGCAGACTGGTGGCGTCGGCACGACAGGAACATCTATGGTAATATCACAAGTACATGTCACAATAAATATCGGCGGCGCGCTGTGGCGTGAGGGAAGGTTTTGCAGTGACGCGTCGCCGAGCTGCTTGGGGCCGTGGGTGGAGGAGGCGGCGCCCGAGCACGTGTCTTTCATCGCACTGCCGTCGGGCGTCGCTTCCTCGTGAAGGACCTGCTGCGAGTCTTCGACGGCGTCCTTTTGGCGGTGGTGGGTGTTCAGTACGGCCCGGACTGGCCCCCCTGGTTGGCGGCGCTGAGGTCTGCCGCGCCGTTGTAGTCGCCGGCGCCCTGGTCGGCCTGGCCGGGCTGCGCGTCCTGGGCGTCGGGGTAGCCCTGGTCCTGGCCGGGCTGGGCGGCCGCCTCGTCGTACGAGACCTCGGGCCTGTAGCCGTCCTGGTCCGCCACGTACTCCACCTTCTGCATGCGGCCGTCGGGCAGCAGCACGTGGTAGGCGCCCGTCGCCACGTCGCCGTCGCGCTGCTCCTTGTGGCCGAACTTGGTGCCGAACTCGGGGGCGTCCACTTCGTACTCGAACGAGTACATGGCGGGCTCCTGCAAGGATGACAGCGATAAGGCAAGCGCACATCGGACAAAGAGTGGCGGTACAGTGGTACAGTACTTACCGTCGTCTCGTCGTTGTTGGCGTTGTCACCTCCGTCACCGGCCGGGGCACCGTACTCAGTGGAGGGGTCGGCGGCAGGGCTGTCGTACTGCGATGACGGGTTGGCAGCGGGGGCACCGTACTGAGACGAAGGGTTGGCAGCGGGGGCACCGTACTGAGACGAAGGGTTGGCAGCGGGGGCACCGTACTGAGACGAAGGGTTGGCAGCGGGGGCGCCGTACTGAGACGAAGGGTTGGCAGCGGGGGCACCGTACTGAGATGAGGGGTTGGCAGCGGGGGCACCGTACTGAGATGAAGGGTTGGCAGCGGGGGCACCGTACTGAGATGAAGGGTTGGCAGCGGGGGCCCCGTAAGACGAAGGGCTAGATGGCCGCGCCGAAGGACGGAAACGAGGGGGTGCCTTCGGGGTGTGACGAGAGGGAGCGTTGGCGCCGAACTGGGCAGATGGGCCGGACGGGGCCCCATACTGAGGCGAAGGCCTGGCCGGGTGGGCTCCGAATGTTGAGGCGGGACCGGCAGAGGGGCTGTTCAAACGGGAGGGAGCCCTGCTAGCACCGAAGCGGCTCGACGGGGCGGGTGCGCCGAACTGAGAAGGAGAGTTGCCGCCGAACTGAGAAGAAGGTGCTCCGTACTGAGACGACGGGGCGGTGGGAGCTGGAGCTGTTCCGAACTGAGAGGGAGAGTTGCCACCGTACTGCGGGGAGGGAGCACCATACTGAGAGGACGGGGCGGAGGGAGCCGGGGGAGCCCCGAACTGCGAAGGGAGGTTAGCTCCAAACTGCGAAGAGGGTCCACCGTGCTGGGGCGCGGGGGCTCCGTACTGAGACGAAGGAGCGGAGGGCGCTGAGGGAGCGCCGTACTGAGGAGACGGACCGGATGGGCCGTGTTGACCAGCGGGAGCGCCGTACTGAGAGGACGGGGCAGTGGGAGCTGGGGGAGCGCCGAACTGAGAGGGAGAGTTGCCGCCGAACTGTGTGGAGGGAGCGCCGTACTGGGAGGACGGGGCAGCGGGAGCCGGGGCAGCGCCGAACTGTGAAGGAGAGTTGCCGCCGAACTGTGTGGAGGGAGCACCGTACTGAGCGGAAGGGCCTGAGGGAGCAGCGAATTGCGAGTTACCGCCGAACTGCGGGGCGGGCGCGGCGGGCGCGGCGGGGGGGCCGTACTGTGACGAGGGTCCGGCGGGGGGCCCGTACTGGCTGGCCGGCGCGGCGAAGCGGTTGCGTCCACCTGACTGGGGCCTTGGGGCCTGCGACTGCTGGCCGTCGTTGTACTCCGTGGCGGGGCCCGAGGGGGCGGCCAAGTTCTGGTGGCCGCCGAAGTCACCAGGCCGTTGTGAAGCGGGACGCCTGAAGCCTCCGCGTGAAGCAGGCGAAGCGGGCGCCGACGGCGGCCCGTAGGAGGACGCCGGCGAGGACGGGTGCATGCGCGCGCCGAAGCCAGCGAAGCCTCGCGACGGGCCGCCGAAACCGGTGTTGCCAGTGCTGCCGGCCTGGGGGTTGTAGTTGGACTCGCCCTTGTTGCCGAAGCCCGCGTCATCGGAACTGCGGATGTCGATGAGGCCGTCGGCGGCGGGCGCGCCGTAGTCACTGGACGGCGCGGAAGGCGCGGACGGCGCGTGTTGTCCGAAGCCCCCGGACGGGCCGCCGAACGATGCCGCGGTGGGTTTGAGGTAGGTCCTGGAGGGCTTGCGCGCGCCCGACAGCATGGCGCCGAAGTCGGCGGGGCTGGGGGTGAAGCGGGCGGCACCGCGGCTCGGGGTGTTGGCCGGCTGCTGGCCCTGCTGGTCCTGTGGCGTGTACGACGACAGCGGCGTCCCGGGCGTCTGGCCGGGCACGCCATACTCCTCGCTGAGGCCATTGTAGTTCCCGGCGGGCACCGGCGGCTCGGCCACGACCAGCAGCGCGCTGGCCGCGGCGAGGATGGCGACGAAGGCCTGCAACACGGTGGCCGGGCGGCGGCATGAATGCAGCATTGAGGCACCTGGCGGCACGGCGGGCGTCCCTACAAGGAGCCGTCCGACAGGCCAAGGGCAGCCAAGGGCACAGCCAAGAGCCGCACGCCAGCGTACCGCCAGTGTAGCGCCCGCGTAGCGCCCGCGCACCTAGCGTAGCGAGCGTGGCCTGGCCAAGCCTGGCCAAGCCTGGACCTTTCCCGGGCCGGCCGTCTGCACTCGGAGTCCCGAATAAGCCGCGCGACCCAAAGGCCGAAATGTAAAGGGGGGTCCTACGGCCCTACACTCCACAGGGCCGACCCGCCCGGCCCCACGCGACCCTCCGCAAAATTCAAATTGGGCCCTACAAGTGCGCCGCGCCGCCGCTGCCTGCAGACTGGGTGCAGCCAGGCCGGGCGGCCTGCCGATAGCGATTCCGGGGGATCGGTTCGTCGCTCTGTCTCTCTCGCACTCGCAGGGCGTCCCGCAGGGAGAGACAGAGCGACGAAAAGGCTCTTCGGAATCAGCCCGCCGGCCCGCCACGCGTGCGGGGACTCCGAAGCACCGCCAAACGAGGAACGAGGGGCACTGGGCCTTTCAACGACACCCCTTCCACTAATAGGTCGGCGGCGTAGCGCCCTCCTCGCTTCGCTCTCGCGCGGTCGGAATCTTGATTCGCTTCCAACGCCTATCAATGTGCCATTGTGCCCCAGGAATAGAGACCGGCGGAACGGAACGGAACGCGATGGAACGGATAGACACAGCCGAGCGCGGCGCGACCCCCGAAACGTGCATTACCCCAACCCCCGGGTCTCTGTCCCTCTCTCTGACTTTCTTCGCCCAACACACACACACACGCACGTGCACGATATAGAGTTACATTCTCGTTTGGTACGTACTTCTGCAAGAAAATGACGCCAATTTCAAAGAAAAATCTGTGAAAAGTTGCAACTTAATATTCGCATCTTATCAAGGTTAAGCCAGCGATACACGTAAACTGATCCGATCCTAACTGTATCATGCAATTTTTCATCTTTTCGCAGTGCCGATGCAAATTTCCGTTTCACTTTGTGCGGCGGGGCGGCGGAGCGGCTCACCTGCGAGTGCATGTCGTTCCCGTTCGGCGGAGGCTGGCGGAGTGCGCCGAGCAGGGTCACGGCGCTCCGTTTTATACGACTCCTGCAAATTTGTTGTTGTTGCTGGCGGCGGCGCCGCTGGGCCCGGGACGCCCGGGACGCCCGGGACGCGCCCAGCGCAGTCGGCCCGGGATGCTCCCCACCACCCCATCGGGATCGGAAGCGACGAGGGGGGAAGCGCGCGGCCTTTTGACCCTGCCCGCCGTCCGCCCCGCGGCCCCGCGGCCCCGCGCCCTCCCCTGGCGCCGTAGGCCGTCCAGGCCGCGTCCCAGGCCGCGTCCCAGGCCCCCCAGAGGCACTGCACTTGAACCACGCTGCGTCCAGGAGTGGGGCCGCGGCCGGGCGTGGCGAGGCCGCCGTCGTCGGCGCGCAGCGGGGCCCGCTTCACTACGCGGGGCCTCCGCGCGCGGCCCGCACGTCGGGCGCCTCGATTCGCACTCCGACCCGAATCTCGGAGTCGCGGAAAACGCGGCGCGCTTTTCCCCATTCCTTCTCCGCAGCTCGTCTTTCGTTATTCGTCATTCGTTATCCCGGACCCACTCGTTATTTTGGTGGTTTATTGTGCGGGGCGCTCTACCTCTACGGCACCGCCGGGCACTGCCGGGCACCCCACTGCGTTGCGTCCGCGGCGGCGCTGCTCGGACCGTACAGCGCAGAGCACCAGGAGGGCCAGGGCCGCCAGGGCGCACACTCGCGCCGCTGAGCAAACCGACTTTTCTGCATATTATGCACGCATGGGGTGGCCAGAGTGTTGTGCCCCAGACTCTGCTCCGCTCCGCTCCCTTCCTTCCACGCCGCGCCACGCCGAGCCCTTTGCCCCCGCTCGCTGCCTGCTCTTGGCCCACCCGTTTCAGGTCTCGCTCTCTATATTTCCCGAAGAAAGCATACCAAGAGTCTGCTGCTGCCTGCCCTCGCCTTCCCCCGGCAGCCTGTACCGACGGCGCGGGAAGAATCGGGGAAGAAAAGGGAAAGAAATGCATTTTGGGAATGCAAGTCAGTGCTGCGCGTGCCGCTCGGCTGGGTCGTGGCGAACCTGGTTCGGGGAAGCACACGCCAACACACACGACGAGGCCGTGCTCCGCTCCTCGCTCACCGTCGTGCTCGTGCACTGGGGCACGCTGCTGGATCCGGCGCCATGACCGATTCTCGGGGACGCCAAGCAGGCCAAGCAGGCCGCGCTCCACGTTTGGCTCGGAGGAAGCGGGCTATTACCGCGGCGAGAGATTCCCGACAACGCTCCGTCTCTCTCTCGCCTCGCCCAACGCCGCGCGTGAGTGCGAGTGAGACGGAGTCAGCGCTCCGCCAGCCCCGCCACACGTGGGGCACACACGTGGGGTCACCGTCGTGGCCGTCGTGTCAAGGCGAGGTAGGACACTGCCATTGCCACTCTACAAATCAAAGAGTGTACATGGTACGCTCTAACTGGAGCATGCCTGCAAGCACGCTCTAACTAGCGCATGCCTGCCAAGCATGCACTAACTAGTGCATACATGCCATGTACACGCTAACTGAAGCATACATTTACTTCATAAGGGATAGGGAGCTTTCTGCATCAGGAAGCGTGTACATGGCATGTATGCACTAGTTAGTGCATGCTTGGTAGGCATGCGCTAGCTAGAGCGTGCTTGCAGGCATGCTCCAGTTAGAGCATACTATGTACACTCTTTGATTTGTAGAGCAGTTCGTCCCGGGTTCCAAGCTCTGCCCGCTTTCTTTCACGTCGTTTGGCTCTAGCAGGTGCAAGGCCGAGGGGGCCACCACCCCCGTAATCCTGTGTACAAGTTTGCTGGTAATCTCTGGTAATCCATGGCGTAATCACGTAATCCTTGACAAAATTCTGTCATTTTCCAACCTTTTCGAGCTATTTTTCAACGTTTTCGAACCAATTTTCGAAAATTTCACGCGTAATCCCTGGTTAATATCCCGTAATCCCGTAATCTTGTGTACGCCTGAAATGAGAGTGGTGGCCCCCTCGTGCAAGGCCGTGGAAGGCCGCCACGCCGGCCGAGGCGCTCTTCCCAGGCAGCCCAGCCCCTGCTTGCCTAGCTTGGCCCACTCCGGCCGTTCTGGACAAATATAGTCGGCGTCTATGCGCAGGAACACGAGGCCAGGCGTTGCCGGCCGGCCAGGGCCCTGCTCCCTTCCCCTTCCTATTAGCGGACCTAACTCCGGCGCTCCGGCGAATGCAATTTGGCGAACACGGTTGCCGCGTCAAGTTCTTCCCTGATTTCGCGATGAGCTACACGATGCAGTCGGCTGGCCATCGGTGGAGGGACCTTGGTCGCTGGATTATTGGTTTAGCACGGCCTGGCGAAGCGGGCGGAGCCTGGTGTTGGAGTGTCGGTCTGGAGGTCTCCACTTCTGAAGCTTTTTAACGAGGGTCGGGGCAATCTGATACTTCTCTACCGTATCGTGTGCTCAAAGTGGCGAAACGCGGACTACGGCTCCTTTCCAGAAAACCGCCTGCTTAACTTTCGGTGTGGGGACCCAGCGCACCTAAATTCTCACTTATTTCACTCTGCCGATTTGTGATTCGTATTTCGACTTTTGCACGCGACGGTGTAGCACTGCTGTCCCCAGCCAGCAGAGGCGCGGGCACTAAGTCTTGAAGTCTTGAAGAAGGTGCGGGAAAGGGGAGGGGGGAGTGCGGTACTTCGGCCTGATGCACAACCGTTGTCGCCCTCCGAGACTGGCGCACGCCCTTACGTCCCCACCGTGGGCACTAGGCCTCGGCCCGGCACGGCCCGGCACGGCCCCGCCGGCAGGACAGCCCTGGAAGCACGCTGGAGGCACGCTGGAAGCCAGCGGATTGGCCCTCAGATAGCCTGCGAGACATGCATGGCCTGGCCTGGCCTTGCCTGGCCGCGTGTAGAGCCCCGAAATCCCTCGGATCGGGCCTTGGCAGCCTTGGCAGCCCTGGGCCCCGATAGGCCGATAGCAGCAGAGGCAGGGACAGCCGGCTGGCAGTTTGAATCCGCGGCAGCGCCCTCAAGGGTTCCGCTCCCCATCAAAACGGCACGGGCACAGGGCTCACTCACTCACACACCAACACACATCGCAAACAGACAGACAGACTGACACACACACACACACACACTGCGCATCGGCTCCCGGGGCTCCAGGAGGATGTTCTGCATCGTCACAAAGCCACGGTCTGGGTCTGAGGTCAGCCCCTGCGGCCCCAGCGCCCTCACCGCAACTCGCGGTAGGGCACATCGCGGCAGCGGCGCGGCGTGGCGGGGCGTGGCGTCGCACGGCGGCGTGGCGCACGGCGAGCTTCCTTTACTTCTCCCCCGAGTCTACGATGCCAGTGCTTCTAACCATTATACTACCCGACCCGGTGAAAACAATAAATGCATTCGTTTCTGTGTGCGAGGAGTGTGTGTGTGTGTGTATGTGTGTGGCTCTTCGGCGAATGAGGGGAACCAACGCATCCACGTAGAAAAATAAGGAGATGCGAGGTATTTTTTTGTGAAGCAGAATAAAAATCGCAGTGGAATTCGCAACCCTGCCGCGAGCAAAAGCAGCCAAAGCGCGCAGCCTGGCGCAGAGCCGAGGCCTTTCAGAGTTTCCATTTTGGCTTGTTATCCGATTTCAGCAAAAGCGGCTCCACAGAGGGACGCCTCGCTTTAAGCACGACGAGGTGGAGTCGCCGCGAGGTACGCCCCGCCCCGCCCCGCCGCAGTGGAACTCCAAGGCGCGGTGCGGCGACTTCCGATTTGTGGCGACGGCAAGGCGCGGCACGGCGCGGCAGCCCCGCGAGCACGGCGGTGGTCGGGTTTGACAACTTTGCCGCGGCGGTTCGGCCAAATGAAGGAAGAGGAACCATAGGCCTAAGCCGCGCTCGTTTGGGTTCCGCCCCGCCCCGCCCCGCCCCGCCCCGCCCCGCCACGCCACTTAGCGCCGGATGCCACCCGAAGCAAAACCGCAAGGGCGTGAGAAATGGGTGTCGGCTGCGGTCGCGTGCGCGGGGAGGAGGGGGAAGGACCAGGCAGTGAACCATACGCATTATCTCGGAGCAACATTCCTTTTATTTAACAAAAATAAATAGTCCAACAAAAACAAGAGGGCAAACACAACAACGCGGGAAGCGGGTAACAACAGGCAGCGGGAAAACGAAAACAAAAATGCAAAACAAACAACAAGAGCGATAACAAGGATAACAAACAACAAAAGCAGTCTGCAGGCTAAGCGCCGCGGAGTCGCGGGGGGCGCCGCCGCGGCCGCAAAGCGCAAAGCGAGGCGCAGAGCGTCCCCGTCTTCCGTTTTGTCGCGACGCGTCGAGACTTGGAGACTGCGAACAAGGAAGCCGCGCTAATTAGAATCGGATTAAGGGTGAAAATAATTGGCAATTAGCCCCGCCTGGCTGGCTGCCTGGCTGCCCGGCCACACAGAGGGAGGAGCCAGCCACCCTGCCGGGCTGTGCCGGGCTGTGCCGGGCTGTGCCGACTCGCAAAGCGAATCAGAGGCGTCATCTGGCGACGTCTTCATCAGATCAGGCGGGGCGGGGCGGCGCTGTCACGACGCTAACTTCTTTACCTCCAGGAGGCCGGCTGTGCCAAGCCTGCGCCAAGCCTGGGCAAGGGCTGCGCCAAGCCTGGGCTGACGGTGTCTAGGTTTTATCACAGGTACTGGATGGTGGGGTGGTAGCCCGTGTGGTCCGCCACGTACGAGACGACGAGCCAGCGGCCACCACCCAGCGGCACGGAGTATCGGCCGCGGACCACGCCGCCGAACTCGTGGTGCACGAAGTCACTTGGTGGGGACGAGGAGGAAGCGGCACCTCGGCCCGGGGCGCCGCCGAAGCCGCCTCCGAAGCCGCCTCCGAAGCCGCCCCCTCCAAACCCGCCGCCCCCAAAGCCGCCCCGGGAGGCGGCACCGAATCCGGAGGAAGGCCCACGGAACCCCTGAAAAAAAAAGTGAAATTAGTTTTGGGCTGGCCAAGTTTAGCAGCACGACTGTCGGTGTTACTCACGCTGCCGTTGGACGCTGGCGGCAGGTACCCGCCGGCGGGGCGCCTGGCGACCGGGCCGCGCTGTAATCCAGGCGGCAGGTAGCTCGGCCTGGGTCGTGGCGGCGACGGCCTTGGCGGCCTCGCCGGTGACGACGGACGTCCGGGAGGCAGGATCACGCCGGCAGGCCTGCCGCCCGCACTGGCCCCAGCGGCTGGCGGCAGGTACTTAGAGTCTGGAGGAGACTTCTTGTCGGCAGGCGGAATGTAGTTCCGGTTTGGGGCAGCGGCGCCCCCTTTGGTGGGCGGCAGATAGTTCGCGTTGGGCTTGCCCGCGGTGGAGGCGCCCTTCTCAGCGGGCGGCAGGTATTTCATGGTAGGCTTGGACGGGGCGGACGCACCCTTAGCCGGAGGGAGGTACTTGGAGTCAGGGCTGGCAGCACCAGAAGCACCAGCTCCATCGCCGAATGGTTTCGTCGGCTTGTTGTAGTTGTACGAACCGTCTTTGTTCTGCTGTGGTTTCGCTTGAGTCCCTGCGCTGGACGGTTTGGGTGGAAGGTACTTCATGTTGGGCGCTGCGGGCTTGGCAGCGCCCTTTCCCGCATCCTGGGCAGGCGGGAGGTACTTCATGTTGAGGGCGGCAGCAGCGTCACCGTCTTTGCCAGCAGGTGGAAGGTACTTCATATCAGGGGCAGTCTTTGGTTTATCATCCGCCTTCGTTGCTGCAGCAGAGGCTTCCAATGTAGTCTTTGGTTTATCATAGTTGTACGACCCGTCTTCGTTCTGCTGTGGAGCAGGCTTGTCACCGGGAGAAGCAGCATCGGCCCCCTTCTTGTCGGCGGGGGGCAAGTACTTCATGTCAGGAGCAGCGGCCGGTGCAGCGTCGTCAGCCTTGTCTGCAGGCGGTAGGTACTTCATATCCGGGGAAGCCGCAGGTTTCTCTGATGGTTTCGCAGTATCGCCTGCAGCAGGCTCTAAAGGTGCGGCGGGCTTGTCGTAGTTGTAGGACCCATCGTCATTCTGCTGCGGACCGGGCTTCTGGGGCGCAGCGGCATCGGCGTCCTTCTTGTCAGCCGGAGGCAGGTACTTCATGTCCGGAGTGTCCGTAGTCTTATCCTCCGCAGGAGCTGCAGTATCAGCATCCTTCTTGTTAGTTGGTGGCAAATACTTCATGTCTGGTGCCGCCTTAGGTTCGGTCGCATCTGCTCCAGCTTCTAGAGGTTTGGCTGGTTTCTCGTAATTATAAGATCCATCATCGTTTTGTTGTGGAGCTGGCTTGTCAGCAGAAGCTGAAGAAGCATCCGCATCCTTCTTGTCAGCAGGGGGTAGGTACTTCATGTCCGGAGCCTCCATGGGTTTGTCGTCTGGTTTAGCTGCATCTGCCCCAGCTTCTAAAGGTTTAGCTGGTTTGTCATAGTTATAAGATCCGTCGTCGTTTTGCTGCGGAGCTGGCTTGTCAGCTGGGGCGGCATCTTCATCTTTCTTGTCAGCTGGAGGCAAGTACTTCATATCAGGTGACTCTGCAGGTTTGTCCTCGGGCTTGGCAGCATCTGCCCCAGCTTCTAAAGGCTTGCCAGGTTTGTCATAGTTGTACGAACCATCGTCGTTTTGCTGCGGAGCTGGCTTGTCAGCTGGGGTGGCATCTTCATCTTTCTTGTCAGCTGGAGGTAAGTACTTCATATCAGGTGACTCTGCAGGTTTGTCCTCGGGCTTGGCAGCATCTGCCCCAGCTTCTAAAGGTTTAGCTGGTTTGTCATAGTTGTAAGATCTATCGTCGTTTTGCTGCGGAGCTGGCTTGTCAGCTGGGGCGGCATCTTCATCTTTCTTGTCAGCTGGAGGTAAGTACTTCATATCAGGCGCCTCCATGGGTTTTTCATCTGGTTTGGCTGCATCTGCCCCAGCTTCTAAAGGTTTAGCTGGTTTGTCATAGTTGTACGAACCATCGTCGTTTTGCTGCGGAGCTGGCTTGTCAGCTGGGGCGGCATCTTCATCTTTCTTGTCAGCTGGAGGCAAGTACTTCATATCAGGTGACTCTGCAGGTTTGTCCTCGGGCTTGGCAGCATCTGCTTCAGCTTCTAAAGGCTTGCCAGGTTTGTCATAGTTGTACGAACCATCGTCGTTTTGCTGCGGAGCTGGCTTGTCAGCTGGGGCGGCATCTTCATCTTTCTTGTCAGCTGGAGGTAAGTACTTCATATCAGGCGCCTCCATGGGTTTTTCATCTGGTTTGGCTGCATCTTCCCCAGCTTCTAAAGGTTTAGCTGGTTTGTCATAGTTGTACGAACCATCGTCGTTTTGCTGCGGAGCTGGCTTGTCAGCTGGGGCGGCATCTTCATCTTTCTTGTCAGCTGGAGGCAAGTACTTCATATCAGGCGCCTCCATGGATTTGTCATCTGGTTTGGCTGCATCTGACCCAGCTTCTAAGGGTTGAGCTGGTTTGTCATAATTATAAGACCCATCGTCGTTTTGCTGTGGCGCTGGTTTATCCACTGGAGCTGCAGCATCTTCATCCTTCTTGTCAGCCGGAGGTAGGTACTTCATGTCTGGTGTCTCCATGGGTTTATCGTCTGGTTTGGCTGCATCTGCAGCGGCTTCTAATGGTTTGGCCGGCTTGTCGTAATTATAAGATCCGTCGTCGTTCTGCTGTGGACCCGCTGCGTCTTTCTTGTCAGCTGGTGGGAGGTACTTCATGTCGGGAGAGTCCGCGGGCTTGTCCTCCGGTTTGGCTGCGTCCGCCCCCGGGATGGGCGCGTCGGTGGGCGCAGGGTAGATGTAGCCCTCCTCGGTGGGTGTCGTGTCTGGACCGGCCGTGGTGGCGGGCGCTGACTCCGCAGCCGGGGCCGCCTCAGTGGGCCCTTCCTCCAGTGGCTTGTCCGGCTGGTCGTACTTGTAGGCGTCCTTGTCGTCCTCGGCGGTCTTCGCCTCGGCTGGGGCTTCGGTACTAGCGGCCGGCGCCTCGGTGGGCTTCTCGTCTAACGGGTTCATGGGGGCGTCGTACTTGTACGAATCATCGGCTGGCTTGTCGTCGGCCGGCTTGTCCTCCGCTGGCGCAGGCGTGCTCTCGGCAGGCGCTTCCGTCGCCTTGTCTTCCAGAGGGTTCTTCGGGGCATCGTACTTGTACGAGTCGTCATCGGCTGGTTTTTCAGTTGAGGCCGGCTCCTCTGCTGGTGTGGCTTCCGTGGGCTTGTCCTCCAGCGGCTTGTCCGGTTTGTCGTACTTGTACGCATCGTCGGCGGGCTTGTCCTTGTCCTCGGCCTCGGCGGCTGGTGCGGCCTCCGTGGCTGCGTCATCGAGAGGCTTGTCCGGCTTGTCGTACTTGTACGCGTCGTCGGCGGGCTTGTCCGTTGCTTCGGCTGCCGGGGCCTCCGTGCTGGCGGGGGCCGCTTCGGTCGGTTTGTCATCCAGCGCGTCGGCCGGCTTGTCGTACTTGTAGGCGTCCTTGTCGTCGCCTGCAGCCGCCCCAGCGGCTTTGGGCGCCTCGTCCTTTGGCGCGTCATCGGCGGCCTCCGGGGCGGCCGTCGTGGTGGTGGTGGTCGTGCTGTCCTCCGGCGGGATGTACTTGTTGTTGGGCGGGAAGGGCGCGCCCGCCGGCTTGTCGTAGCTGTACGCGTCGCTGTCCGGTGGCGGCGCGAGGCCCCCGATGGTGGAGTAGCCGGCGTCGCTGGGCACCAGGGAGTCGTAGGCGTAGTCGGCCTGGCCCCGGCCCTGCGGCCGCGCCACCACGGTGACTGCGACGGAGGCCAGCAAGAGCACCACCGCCTGCCAAACATCAATGCAGGGAAATGAGCACGCACTGCAATTCGGAGGCCAGCCTAACGAACCGCGGCATAGAAATCCATCCCGCCATGCAGACTGAGTCGTTTTCATCGCTCTGTCTCTCTCGCACCTACACGGGACGCGCCATGGGTGCGAGAATGACAGCGCGACGAAAGCGACTCTCAGAATCAGCCTGCTGGCGGTGCAAACGGTGCCGCCCCGCCCCGTCGGCGTGCAGCGCGCTAATGAAGAGCGTCTCCTCGTTAGGCCGACGACGCGTTGCTTTGCTGCGCGGAGCGGCGCGTTGCGCGGTGCGCTGCTGGCGTCGTATCGTGTCGTTCCGAACCATCGCCTCTCCGCACACGTCATTGATGCGTAATGAGGCAGGCCGGCGAGATACTCCCCCCGGCCGCCACCCCATCGCAAGCAGTGCCAGCGCCAACAAGGTGCGCATCGCGTTCCTTTTTGCGCGACTGTGCGTACCCACCCCCTGAGCAATGAGCGCATGGCAAGCAGCGCGACGAGTGCGGACGAGGGGCGTAAAGGGTCGCGGCACACGCGCGGCGGCGAGTTTGAACGTACTCTACAGTGGCGGCGGCGCGGCGGCGCGCGCTGACACGACCACCACGACCACGATCTCGCATGGAGTACCGACCGAGGGCCAGGCCCGCCAGGTCGAGATCCGCACTGGGTTGGGCCTCAGCGAGGGCCTCGGGCTCCCTCCGGGCCCGTCCCACAGTGGGCCAGAGACCGGTGGAGGCGGCCAAAACTCAAGACGCGTTTTGAGCTCCAGAGTCACTGAACAGGCCTCGAACCGAACGTGTGACCCCACCAATGGATTCCTCGTTCGGAGAGCAATCCATTGGTGGGGTCACACGTTCGGTTCGAGTCCTGTTCAGCGACTCTGCAGCTCAAAACGCGTCTAGAGTTTTGGCCGCCTCCACCGGTCTCTAGCCCACTGTGCGCCCCAAGGCCCGCCCTTCCGCCCTCGCAGGCCACCTTCAGCCCTTTTCCGCCGGCCGTCGTCCCTTCACTCCGGCCCTCCAGCCCTCACTTCACGTGGCGCAGCGCGGCGGCTAAAAAGGGCCGTGCGAGGAAACTTTGTCCAACTGCCGGAAATTAAAGCTTCTTTCCGAGTCAACATGAGGGAGTATTGCTGGGGGACACTTGCCACAAAGGCCCAGCGGCCCCCCCCCTCCCCTTTTCCCCGCGCCGGCCCGTCCGAGTGGACCATTTCACCTTCCCCCAAAGTTTCACCCAAAGTCAAAGTGATTAAACGGAGCGCGACGCGCGAAGGCGCGCGAGGGCAGGCCGCAACGCGGCACGCTGCACGCCGCGGCCAAACCCGGTAGGGCCAGCAAGGCTGGCAGGGCTGGCAGGGCCAAACGCAGCGAAAAGACGGAAACAAAAACAAAAATAGGGCGGAACACAGCCAACTCAGGAGTAACGAGCACGTACTGATTGGGGGTTCGTTACTGCACCCCAGCCGCCCCGCCCAGCGGGCCCCACCCCGCGCGGTTCTCTTTATATCTTGTTTTGAACTGGAGCGAGCTCAAGAGGGGGGTAAAATTGACGGTGCGAGGGGCGCGGCAGGGCGCCGTGCCGCCTCCAAGGTAAAGGTACGATCCTGCAGCGCGCGCTGAATCGGAAGCGATAAGTTTAGTGCGCGCCAAAGTGAGCAGGGGAGATGCGGCGTGGCGGGGCGTGGCGGGGCGGGGCGGGGCGGGGTGCCCAGTCGTTCGGCGGCGCCCCGCCCCACCCCCTAAACACGCGGCAGGCACCCCGCGCCTTGCAGCGCCACACTCGCTACCTGCCGTTTATACGTTTATACGGCGCGGGTGTGGTACTCCAAACTTTCCGGACGCCACGGCGGCACGGCGGCCACGGCGCGCCAGCTGGTGGTGACAGGAGTCGACATCGACTACACTGGGCCTCCCTGCCAGGCGCGGCGTGCGCGGGCGTGCGCGGGCGGGGTGGGAAATAAAACTAAAAAGACGCCGTCAAACGGCGCGATTCTTGCAGAGCAATGCCGTATTTCTTGCCGCACTTTCACAACACAACAACTTGGGGCGAACTGGGCGAGGCGAACTTGATCCGCGGGCTGGCCCGGCCCTTATTCACTTGTCTGGCCGCCTTGTCACACGCGTTTGAATTATCGGCACTGCACTGCGAGGCGCGGCTCGAGGTAGCCGCCGCCCACACTGGGAAAAGGAGCACGACGACGACACACTCCGCGACGCGACGCCGGTGACGCTCACCTGCCGAGGCATGCTGACGATCTGTGCACGCCGCGACACGTGGTCACCGGCTTTATACAGTCATTTCGCGTTCAGAGCGCAGGCAGGCAGGCACACCGCGAAGGAAGCGCGGGTGAACGGGAAGAAGCCTGAGGCAGCCGGCGGCAGGCAGCGTTTCCGCCTGCAGCCTTGCACTTGGCTGCGACGCCGACGACGACGCGCGTGATTGCAGCTGCAGCCTGATGGACCGGAACACGGAAGGTGCGCGCCGCGAGTGAGTGTGTGTGTGTGTGAGTCTGCCCTGTCAGCTGCAAGCCGGGCATCCCCCGCGGGAGGACGCGGTCTCTGTTTTAATGGACTTCCACTCCGCCTCGCTTCGCTTCTCCCCGCTCCAAAGCGACCCGCCGTCCGTCCGACCGCGCCACCGCACCGACATCGCCCCTTTCTCCGCGTGGGTGGCGGTGGCAGCGCGCCGGCGGCGTCGCAAACGGACAGGACGGGGATGATTCGAGTGGAAAGCAACTTTTTTGTCGTTTTCTTCCGAGTGCGGCCGCCATCGGCCCAGTGACCTGCTGAGGGGGTTCCGCCAATGCGACCCTATGGCCGGAGCGCGGCGGCCGCGCGCAACGTTTTCAAAGAGTGCTGCGGGAGACACGAGAGCACCGTACCGTTCGGATTCAGCCTGCTGGCCAGCCGCACACCCACCGCACCGCAAAGCGCTGCTGACTCGGCCGGGGCTTCGACGCGCACCTCCGACCCCCAGCTGCCTTCCCCGCCCGACTTGGCGTCTTGCTTGGCGTGGCCCGGCCGGCCCAGGCCAGCCCAGCCCAGGCCCCGCGATCGGGGGCGGCGCCACAGTTATGCTAAACGCTGCCAAAATGAGGTTTTGGCAGGAAGCGCCGTGTTGTGGGCCCCTCGGCCCCCTTGGCCCCCACAGGCCCACGGGCCCCCACTCACGGGGGCGACGGTCGGCTCGGACCCAGGCCGAGGGCCGGGGCCATGGCCGGGCCCAGGGCCCACAGGCTTGCTAGTCAGCGCGCCCGCCCACAGCCTCCTCACCGCGTCCCGCGCTCCGCTCCACGCTCCGCCCGGCGATCTGGACCTCTTCCAGGCAGCAGAAATACGGGGCTGCCGCGCTGCTGGGCGTACTATATATGCACCGCCACCGCGCTGGCGGCCTGGCCCCATTCCACAAACAGGCAGATACGTTGGGTACGGCACCGCAGGGCACGGCCGGGCACCGCGGGGAATAGGGAAATGAAAAAAATGGAAATAAACAGCCCCCGCGGCGTTTTCGTAAAACGTTGTTGACGTCAGCGCGGTGACGTGGGTGACGTCACAGTGGGGGGGGCGTTTGTGGCCGAGAAAGTGGACGGCCGTACGACGCGGCTGCGGTGCCCTGCTCTCCCGGGAGCGTAAGCGAGACGTCACGGAGTAGTGTAGTGGAGGCGCGGTGGAGGGGAGTGGCGGTGGGCCAGCCGGGCCGGGCCGCCTCGCGCGCCTCGCCGTGAACTTGGCCTCTATCACCGTCGCGGCGGCGCGGTGGCGAGCACAACTGCACCTGTCCGCCGAAATGTATGACGCCTCCCGTCGTCGACCTCCCGACGCCCTGCCGCCTGGCTCTGTCCCTCTCGCACCTATGGGGCGTCCGCAGCGGTGCGAGAGAGGCAGAGCGACCGAAGGGTCCACGCCCTGCATTGCCGACGAAAAGCACGGTTCACTCCTATTCACTGCGCTAAACCGGTCGCCCGCGGCGTCCACCTGTCCGTCCGTGAGTCAGTGTGACCGCGGCCGCGCCAAACGGGCAAAAGTTCACAGCGCACATTTCAACTTCAATAATTTCCCGGCTCAAGTCTTATTTCTGCTCCACTGTTTCACCGCCGGAGTCCCCAGCGCCGCGCCGCGCCCTGCGGGCCGATCCTGAACAAGCGCCCCGTCGCTCCGTCTCTCTCGCACCCGTGCGAGACTAGCGGGACGGCCAGTGAGTGCGAGAGAGACGGAGCGACGAAAGCGCTGTTCGGAATCAGCCCGCAGGCGACGCTATCTCCTGCTGAGCCCATACTTTGCAACTTTTGAGGGGTACCCTCGCGTACAGGAACGCCCTGCCGTGCCGTGCCGCACCGCGCCAGGGCGTGCCGGGCCAAGCCGCGCCCAAACTTTTCTGCCTGCAGTGAGCTGACGAAAACAAATTGAGGATGGAACGGAACGACGTCGCGATGGGAGGGGAGGGACGGCCCGCGGCCCGCAGGCAGCGCCGTCTCTCTCGCACTCCCTCGGGACGCCCCGCGAGAGCGAGAGAGGCAGCGCGACGACAGCGCCGTCCGGACGCGGCCGCAGGGGCACGCGCGGGCCGGGCCACAGTGGGCCAGAAGACCGGTGGAGGCGGTCAAAACTCCAGACGCGTTTTGAGCTCTAGAGTCGATAAACAGGACTCGAACCGAACGTGTGACCCCACCAATGAATTCCTCGTTCGGAGAGCAATCCATTGGTGGGGTAACACGCTCAGTTCGAGTCCCATTTAGCGACTCTGGTGCTCAAAACGCGTCTGGAGTTTTGACAGGATTCACCGCTCTTCTGGCCCACTGTGCGGCCCCCCCGGCCATGCCCGCCATGCGATATGCCATCATGATCCCATTTCGCGAGCCAGCTCGTGGAGCCGGCCAACAAGCAGTGCATTAGTTTCTCTCTCTCCCTCCCTTTTGATGTCTCCGTTATTCCTCCCCCTCATCTTATTTGCAAAAGGGAAAAAAGGAGAGGAAAATTGCAAAGCTAATTCTTTGTCCGCGTCTTGGGCGCTCCAGCACCTCGCTGGCTCGGGCCTGGCCTGGGCAGCCAGGACAAAGGGG